GTATAAATGCGTATTTTCGTATTCCATGTTTCAATCCAAATTTCTGATAATTTGTTTTTGTAGCGTCTGGTGATTTTTGAGACGTATTTTCGTATTCCATGTCTCTGTCCGTATGTCAAATAATTTGGTTTTATGACGTCGGGTCTTTTTTGTGACGTATTTATTTATTCCAATGTTTCAGACAAAAGTTTTTAAAAATGTATTTATAAGCTTTAAGAATCCCAGGCTGGACAAAACACTTGAGATGAGGGGAAACAAGTTAGGATATTTACTGGGAGTAGATACGAAAGCCAGGATGGGTTATCTGGATTTTTCTCCTCTAGTTCTTACTAGACATATTTTTTTATTGCTATATTCCATAGCTATTATTACTATTACTACTACATTGTAGGTACGTTAAAGTAATACCTAAGATAGGGTAACATCCAGCTGGGCCGTATTGAATTCCGTAGTTTTATCAAATACGCATTACACCATATACTTTATGGCATTTTCTTCAAAAAGGACTGGCATTTCAATATGGAATTTTCGATAAATAAAATATTCAAAGAGACTGCTTCAAAATATTACTTTATTCAATTATCAAGAATGTCAGTTTTATTTTATTATAATTTAATGAAGGTTTCAGTCGGTGCCCTTGATGAACACCTACACTAAAATGGCCATACCTAGGTCCTTATTACATGTACATCAAAACACTTTATGGTTGATTATTGTCAACCTGTGATGCATGACAAAAGGATGCACGACCTATGTAAAAGAAAAACTGTTTTTTCTCTTTGCTCCAGTAGGGCCGAGACATTTGGTCTGGTATTTAAGTGTTGGTATAGAGCAATGATAATACAGGGATATATTTTATTCTATGTCATGTGACCATGTGACGTCACACTTGTAATTCGTAAGCAAGTTTCGTTGAATTTTCAAAGTGGTATTAAAAAAGAAATCCACAGGTTTTCACCTACGTTGACTAAAAAGAAGTCCTTGATTTCGTCGGTAAGTGAGAGTATTATATAGAGTATTACGACAGGGAAATAGAGGTTCCCCAACGAGTGATGGTTGGTTATCATGTTTATCTAACTCGATTTAGTTACTTTTCAAGTCGTATAAAGACACGAGGTTTACCGAATGTCTTTTACATTTGAAAATTAATTAACGAGAGTAAGATAAACATGATTATCATCCATCACGAGTTTTGGGGCCTTTTTCTCCCACAACGTTCAAATATCATATCTAAAAAACTTAATGTTTCTCTTGGAAATACCTTATTCCTGTTAATGATCGGGGAAACAGTGCCATGAACCATGACGTCACAATGGCAGATGACGTCGCAAAGCACTGTTACTTGACGTCATAATTAGAAGATTGACCTATGAAATCACGTCCAGGGTGTTACCCACTAGTGGGAAACCAAAAATGCTTACCAACCTCCTAGCAGGTTTATCCAATAAGTCGGGAGTGAGGCAACTATTATGTCTTTGCGTATTGCAGAGTTATCTTCTCTTGGGAGCAGGTATTGATTGTTACGTCATTGGTCTGTGCGAGAAAATTACGTCGTTTTCTCAAAAATTGATGACGTTACTGTCACAAACAAGTGACGTAACAATCAATACCTGCTCCAAAGAGAAGATAACTCTGCAATACGCAAAGACGGAATAGTGGTTGTGGGAGAAAATGGTTTTCACAGCCTAAACGAAAACATGATTGTCACAATGGGATTGTGAATCCTTGAAGAACACCAATACTGAAAAAGAAATCCGTTCATTCTAATAGTTTCTAAACGCATACTTAAAACCATTCATCTGGGTAGATTATTTCAGTGCCCGATATATGTTTTTTCTAGTTTTCTTTTAAAAGTGCAGTAACTGACGTCCCAGAAATATATCTCAGACAGCTCTATTAGTGTTTTACCTACAGACATATAACAGTAAATTTGACGCTCACGGAGGTCAAACACAAGTTGTCTAGAACCCGCGCCTACCAAACGTTGTCATAAGCTCTCATGGCCGATTGGAAACAGATTTCTCCCACAACCACTAAAGGTTTCCTCACTACCGGCTCATAAACTATAAACCTGCCGGGAGTTCGTTAACATCTTTGGTTACCCAGTAACACCCTGGGCGACAGTTCATTAATCAAACTTTTATTTATGCTTTGCGACGTCATTTTCCATTGTGAGGTCATAGTTCATGATTTTTTTTTCTCTGATCGGAAACAGGAATAATGCATTCCCAAGAAAAACATATGATTTTTTCGATGAAATATCTGAACGTTGTCGGAGAAAAATGTCCCAAACTCGTGATGGTTAGTTATCATGTTTATATGTAAAAGACACTTGGTAAACCTTGTTTCTGCATACAATTTGAAAATAAACTACTTCGAGTTAGATAAACATGATAACCAACCATCACCTATTGGGGAACCTATGTATTTCAAATTTAGTATAAAATAATTTGATCTATGAATTTTGCTTCCCTACTCAAACTTATAAGTATATACTTCTGCTATCTATAAACTGTTCATTTGATCGAAAATATTTAGTCGAAATTTTAAAGCCAGATATTTTCAGATTTTGTTTGTAACTCTCTAGCGACCAGAGAATTCCGGAAATCTTCGAGGAACACAGACTGCCGGAAATCTCCGAGGAACACAGACTGCCGGATATCTCCGAGGAACACAGACTTCCGGATATCTCCGAGGAACACAGACTTCCGGAAATCTCCTAGGAACAGAGACTGCCGGAAATCTCAGAGGAACACAGACTGCCGGAAATCTCCCATAGGAACAAGAAATCATCTCCGAGAAAAAAATATTCTATAAAAATGTTATAAATGTTAAACATTCTGGTATACAAAATGTAGGTACATTTGTATTGTACTGGATGATCAACAAGAGGCCCAGGGTCATTGATAGCTCACGTGGAATTTTATTTTTTATTTGTTTTTCAACATGCGTTACATGTTTATCAAAAAGAGTATCAGAAAGTTTTAGCTGTTAAAACAAGCTATTCATTTTTTGTGCGCTTCTTGGAAGATTTTACTTCTTAACACCTTATGTATCTTTGTTGGAAGATTTAAACACATTTTATTGATCTGACCTAGTTTTTTTTGGTATAGCCATTTATTTACTTCTAGCACATCATGTTAATTTACAACAATAACCAACATCGCAAAATATGAACTTTTGGTAGGCTCTTTTATTATTCAGGGATCATTTATTCAGCAGATTGAAACAAATGACCTTGAAATTGGTTCAAGGTAATTCATTTAAACAAACTAGATAGCCCATTATCATAACACGCAACTGGCCAAATATCACCTTCCGCTTCTTGGTTGTTCAGAAGATACTAAACAAGTTTAACAAATCGTTACTTTGGAATTGGATAAAGGTCATTTATTTGGATAGATTTTATAACCCTTCATCCTAGTGTGGGACTGGCCAAATATCATCACCCTATTTTTTTCGATATTCAGAAATAGTCCTTTAAAGGGTTTCACACATTTGTTTCGAGACGTTGAAGGTCGGTAAAGGTACATTTTGTAATTCATTTCCAGGAATCATAACCCTTCATCCTAGCATGCTAATTGCCAAATACCACTACCTTAGGCCTCTAGTTTATATTGACCTTGAAAATCGGTCAAAGACATTCATTTAAACCAAATTGATAGCACTTTATGTCATGATGCTACAGGCCAAATACCACCAGCGATCTTTGGCCTTCTAGTTGTTCAGAAGATAAGAATTTTCAACACATTCTTTTGAAGCTTTAAACAAATTTGACCCCTGCGACCTTGAATATGGTTGACGGTCATTCTCCTGAACAAACGTGATAGCCGCCTTCATTCAGGCATATTACTTGCCAAATATCATCACCCTAGGTTTTTTGGATATTCAGAAAAAGTCGTTCGAAGTTTTGCAACAAATTTGACCTATGTGACCTTGAATATGGGTAAAGGTCATTCATTTAAAAACAGGTTGACAGCACTGTTTCCCCAACATACATCTACTACTGGCCAAATATATATTCAACATTGGCCTTTTGGTTATCAAAAAGAAGTCGTATGAAGGAAAACGTTGACACCAGACAAACGACCATAGACCATGTCACTCATCACTGCTTCAACTCACTTGGCCCTTTGGGTAGGCTAATAAAAAACAATATCTCCCTGTTTGATAACAATATCACTTTTATTTCTGATTATCAAATAGGATATATATCATTTACTGATGGCATCAATTATGTAATTTTATTATATATATATAATCAACCAACGTGTATAAACCAGACATATACCTATTGTAGGCTTAACTTTTATACAGTCACGTGCCATAAGTCTGAGATGAAAACCTGTATAATCTGGACTCTGAACTAGGTTGCACAATACACGATTTTCTTTTATGTAATTTGAACTTGCATATTCTGAAAAACTTTTAATGTTGAACAAACATTATATGTACAGTAAGTAGCCTTGGTTTATACAGATTCCACAGTACATGTGTACTGAGTGAAGGTTTGGTACACAGAAATAATTGATTATAAAATCATTTGACTAGTACATGTTAAATCACTCATTTTCTATATCATCACATCTACAGCCTATCAACAAAAATATAGGTACACAATATAGGTAGCGGTTTAAAGAAGTCATAGTTACAGTAATGGAATATTTGAGTTTAAAAAATGTAAAGAATGAAAAGTTAATTTTAATTCAAATCCAAGATGCATGAAATGAACTGTGGTGATAAATTTTATCCATACAGGATTATGATAATAAATGCACTGTTTTATAACGATTGCAATTATATACTCAGGATGTCTCACTGTATGTGAAAAGTAGTATAACATGTTTAAATGTGAAAGGCCAAATTAGGAAGATATGTGTTTCAGGTGTTTTAATCTTTTGAATTTTGTTCTTGTCAACATAAAAGTTTGTATGGGACATTTTACAGATGCTTCCTGAAGTATTCTTTTTTGTTCTATGTTTGAATGAAAAAAATATTTAAAAAAAGTTATAAGAGTTTACACAACCCCTCACATCAAAGTTGCTGCCTATTTAGTAATATTTATGTTTTTTGACACTTTTTCAACTACGTGTATTTAACATTTACGGTAGTTGCTATCCATGTAATGAACATTAGAGAAGAAAGTTCAAACACAACAATGTTTTGTTGGCATAATTGTTTACATCTAATACCAAATTAAAGTTTTTGTCATTCTTATGTAAATTTTGTGAAAGTAGTATTGTCAGTACCAGACTTTATCCCATAAACATTTCAAAATTCTAAATCATGACTTAGTTAAAGAGACAATCCAATGTAATTAAATGCAATAAAGTTGTAAATACCCCTTAGCTCTGATTTGGTTTGTGACTCCTCTATACAAATAATAGTGCTCAGCCTTTTTTTTAAACAAATACGGTAAAAAAAAAAATCTCAATATCGATTACACTGAAGAATCAGTGAGCAGCATTACCCTGTAAAACTTGTTCTGACAACATTTCATTTACACTTACACAATACAAACCATACCAATTTGGTTAAAAGATTATAGCATTCATAAAGGATCTTACATGAGTTTCAATATCATATGACATTTATGAAACGAGACTAAGATTTTTCAATTTAGCGAGCCTCTGTTGAGCTAAAATGAAAAATTTGTGACAAGTTTCATAAATTTCATATGAAATGAAAAGGAGTGTAAGATCCTCTTAATCACATAATCAGACAATTTTCATGTAACCCTGAAATGTAAAAAGCCGCCATTTTGACTCCAGTGCGCAAATATGTGACGTCATGTACTTGTCCTAGGCTTGACGTCACAATAGAAACAATTGAAACTTACAACCAATCACAGGGCTGATAAGTCATATTAAATGGGTCAATATGCAAAAATATATGACATGGGTATATTCACTGGATAACAAAGTACATTATGTGATAAATCAAAATCTCTATCCAACCTATCGAGCACACTTGATCATGACCTTGATTCCTTCACCTCTCAAGGTCGTCTCGAAGGCCTTGATGGAATCCTCCAATGAAAATCTGTGTGTTATCAGAGGCTTGACGTCAACTTTCCCAGAAGCCACCATGGCTAACGCAGTTGGGTAGCTAGAAAGAAAAGGGCAGAATAAAAATAGTATGTATGTGCAAACATACATCAATGGAAATTCCAAAACACAAACTTCTATAAAATACATGTGTAACAGAGGTCATAATCATATGTACCTTCTCAAAATGTGTTATATTTTTGCTGTTATTTTTCCCAAGGCCATGAAGTATCAACTGTGTCCACACACCATTGAAATATTACTGTAATATTTATTTTGATAGCATTTATTTGTATAAAGAATACAAGTCTGCTTAAAAAACCAATATAAAAATCATTAAAATGAAAATATTCAAATTAATCACTTTTTATGCAAGGGTTATTTCATTTAATTAGAAACAATCTGTAACATATGAATGCCTCCATGTAAACAGAGATTCATTGCTATATAATATCTATATATAACAACTGAATGGCATGTTCCAATGTGTATGCCAGGGATAACCCAAATTGGTTACATACATATTCCATGAAGCCTGCTATTATGAATATGTATGTAACCGATTTTTATTCATACTGGCATAAACATTGAAATATTTAGTTTAATATGTTTATTTAAATTCTAAATTTCATCATTACTGTTGATCTAATAAAGACATTCCCCTTCTATTTTCGATATCAACATGTCTCCTGTCGGCACAAACAAGATTCCTTGAACAGCCTAACGTACAACCAAAATGTTTGCTTATAATGGCTGTATTATATTATTCGATGGGGGAGGGACGCTTCAAAATGAAATTGATTAAATTGCATTTATAGCCCTATGAGCACATTTTCTTCTGGTAAAACTTATAGAGGAACTTTCAATGGAAATGGAAATATACAGTAACAATGACTGACTTGAGCATCCTTAATCATGACCTCATTTCATGAGGTCAATTCTCATAATTGTTTTGGCTTTATAATTACTTTCAAGGATACTACCAAGAAAAAATTTAAATCATTCCGCATATAATACAAACATTGTGTCCAAAACACCATCTATCACAGAATTAACAGAATTCATTTAATTTGCAGTACATGGGTGCCTGACAATGTGTGGTAAACGGAGCTATGGCTTGACATATGATGAAGGGGAAACAACTCCCATAACGAAGGGAACAATGACTGAACAAGCAAAAATATCATGATTTTTTTTACATGCATTCTTCTCTTGTCCTCCATAAACATCCACAATTGTCAAAATGAAATTTACATGGTACAGTTTTGTGGAATCCGAATGATGTTTTTTCTACATTATCATGACCTTGTGTCCCTGCACTAGTCATTTACAAACTTTAAATTTTTAATACAGTCATACTAACTCTTCAGTCTTTCAATTGTAAGATCACAAAACAGTCTTCAAAATGTTTCTGCAGCGTTAACAAAATTTCAAATTTATATTTTAGAGTATGAAAAATATTGAAAGAGCTGTATGGGAATCCAGGATAAATTTATCAATTTGTATGAATAACCATCATACACTTGATATATCTTGTAATTATCAATAAACATATATTATACCAGTTGACGTATCTGAAGATTCCTCTGATGTCCACCTCTCTTACAGAAGCGTTGACAATCGGCATGGTTACGTCAGCCTGGCCAAGCCCCACCAACACCACACAGCCACCGGACTGGGTTGCCTTGGTAACAAAAATGCCACCAAATGATTAAAAATATAGACATTCGATTTACCATAATTATTTAAGCATACATCACTGTTTGAGGTTTTGGCCTAGTATCATTACTGTCAATATGTCTGTGTTTCTTGAACTACATGGAAGACAGGTGATCATCCTGTGTCTAACACTACATAAATAACACTGATCAAAGTCTACATAAATCAGCTACTTTTTATTAGATGGAGTAGATGAGGTGGTACGAGACTTAAGCTTGAACAAATACTTAGATATCAAAATTTTACTTTCTACACAAACAATGTACGTATTAAATGTGTCGCAACGTTTCAAAACCGACTGGTCACTTTGTCAAGCTCTGACTGAGTGAGCGATTTGTATTTTTCACCTGTACAATGATGTGACGAAATTGTATATTTTTCTGTCACTCGACCCGAGAAGTTTCGCCTATCGATAGAGAGCGTATACACACTGTATGAAATAGTTTACGGGTATGTCCTATCCTGTTATGTCAGTATCGGGTCACACAGATAACTCAGCTGGTGTCCCCCCTTGTCTCTGTTCATGTTCTGAGTTTTCCTGATTTTGATTGCTTCTTTGATTTGTCTCGTTTTTGTGTGTTGTTCCCTTTCAAATATCTTGGCACTGTCCCAATCGATGATGTTCATTTCTCCCACCTTTCACAAGTGTGTCTCCCATTTTAGCTGAGAAAGATCAGCTTGTCACCCCCTAGGGGGAGATAGCCTCGTGCCGATTAGAACGTGTTCAATCGTGACGTCATTAAAATTCGTCATCGGTAATTATGACGTCATCAAAAGTGAATGACAATATGCATACCCCACATGTGTTTTTTTGTTTACAAACATGGCAGACTAATGTCGGTGGAGCTGACTGAAATGATAGGATGGGAGAAAAATAATCATCCCCTACATACCTAGAGGGTGTAACAGAGAAATCTCCAAGCCTCTGGGTGATTTTTTTGGTTGTCTCACCCTCAGCTGTGAGACAACCACAAAAATCACCCAGAGGGTTGGAAATTTCTCTGTTACACCCTCAAGGTAGGGGAAGATTCTATTAGTTCTGAGTTTTCCTGATTTTGATTGCTTCTTTGATTTGTCTTGTTTTTGTGTGTTGTTTCCTTTCAAATATCTTGGCATTGTCCCATTCAGCGATATGATTTTGGGTGTAAGCATGATCTGTTAATGCCGATTTATTGTATTGACACTCAGTCATAGCTTGCCAAAGAGACCAGTCTGTCTTGAAATGTTGTGACACGTTTAATACATACATTGTTTGTGTAGAAAGTAAAACTTTGATATCACATATTTCCAAATTGATGAATCTTATTGAAAATACTTTGATTTTTCAGAACACTCTACATGCTATAACAGTCTATCTACTCTAGGTGGCAATGCTACATTCAATGGTTATTTCTTGGGAGGTTACCCTACCTGTAAACATATATAAACTGTAGCTATATGTTAAGTAATCTTAGGGGAGATAACAATATATATACATAGCTATCTATATGGAAATTTAAGGGGATATAACACTGTAAGGTGTCTTCAAAGAAACCATATGGCAGAGGTCTGTCTCCATACATAGCTGTCTGTAAGATATCTAAGAGAAAATAATTGTATATATATATAAATATATACTTTGAGCTGTCTGTTTGGTAGTGTAAGGGTTTAAGTAACTCAATATAAATAGCTGTATGAAGAGTAATCTAAAGGGAAATAACTCTTTCTACATACATTTGTACTATGAGCTGTCTCTAAGGTACTCTTAGGCTCTAAGAGGAGATAACTCTAAATACATACATATATTGCTGTCTGTATACTTGGTGTGGCCCCACTACACTCAATGGTGATCTCAGCCTTGTCCCCCATTATATTCTCAACCTGCTTAGCGACTTCCTGGGGGTCACGACTCGTCACCTTAAGGGTGTAGGTAGCACCCAATGTTTTAGCGACTTCCAATCGTGATTCATCAATATCTGTAAATAGATTTGTAAACTTAAAAACATTTCATGGTTAAAAGTTTTTTCCCTTAATAAACATAGAAAAACTTGTTTGACGTTTTCCAAGATAGTGAAAAAATGAAGAAAAAAAATGCAATTTTATAATACGCATCACGTAACAAGTGAGCAGTTAATTCATCAATAAATACTGAAGATAAAGAGCAAGCACTGCACACCAGCCTCTCCATGTTAACACATTAGTGACCGACACTTAACAAAATCCACCCATTTATCACTTTTAAAATCAATGATTTATTATCTGTTTATAAAAGACATTTCAAAGCTGAAAATTATCTTTATATTAAAAACATTTAGACATGGCGTAACAATGGTGTTACAGATGAACTATTTCTCTATACCATCATATAAATAGAAATCCTATTTCTTGTCTAAAAATTCACTGTTCATCTTGGAGTAGTCTCCCCTTACCTGTAATGCACACTTCTGAAGCACCATTTGCTCTAGCTGTGAGGAGATTGACCAACCCGATCGGACCTAGAAACAGAAGTATATATAAGTAATCTCACTATCCTTCTTCTTCTGATGCAGTTATAAGTGTCAACATTTAATCAGACAAGTTTCTTACTGTGAAATTTTATCAAAGAGATTAAGTGATATTCTTCAACCATGAATCAAGCTCCAGTCATTTTTCTCTTACAAATGTTTAGTCATGACTTACTTTGGAAAAATATATCAACAAATATATCTCAAAAAAGATGGAAAAAATAACATCCATTTTATACATCAATTGACTGTATAGGGGTATTAGAAGAATATAGCCAAGCAACATATAACAGGGGAGAGAGAGTAGTGTGTTCCCATCAGGGATCAAACTATCCTCGATACTCAAGGGGTTCCGCTGACTTTTGGTCTCTGCACACCTGGAATATGTCAAAGCAAAATGGAAGGCACAGGGATAGCTATTTCATTGGTCTTAGGTGAAAAAACCTGACCAATTGCTAAGCTGATGCGTTCAATTTTATGACTATGCGACCGCATCGTCTTCTTGTCTCAACAACAATGTGGCACACACAGAGCCTTCAATTTTGCTATGATGTATTCAAAGGGTGCAGAGAGCGAAAGTGAGCGGAACCCCTGGAGTATCGAGGATTGGCTCAAACCAGCTTTCCTGTCAGCCACTCAACTGATTGAGCTAAAGGAAAATTTCCTCATGCTTGAGCATAATCAGGTAGGAGTTTGATAGGGAACTCGGGGTCGGAGCAGGTTTGATCACCGGGGGAGACACACTGAAAACAGAGAAACACAGAAAACAGAGACAATTCAAATGTCTAGGTTGCACAAATGATGGGGAACTACCCAGGGCCAGTCTGCAAAAAAACCCGGTTTATCTGTTTTTAAATGTAGCATTTTCTGGTTTAAATCCTAGAAGGCCTGCAAATCTTTATACAAGCCTTTTAAAGCTTTGTCAAGGCTCGTCTGAAAGCAGCATCAGATTACTAGGTTCGACTTTTTTTCATAAACGTTTGGATCACGATAAATGTAGTGGCCCCAGACATACCCCATTCACTGTGTAAGGGAGACAACGTCAATATACTAGGTACTATTTATAAGGGAGACAACCACAATATACTAAGTTCTATGTAGAAGGGAGACAATCACTATATACAAAGTACTATGTATAAGGGAGACAACCACTATATACAAACTACTATGTATAAGGGAGACAACCACCATATACAAACTACTATGTATAAGGGAGACAACCACCATATACAAACTACTATGTATAAGGGAGACAACCACAATAAACAAAGTACTATGTATAAGGGCGACAACCACGATATACAAAGTTCTATGAATAAGGGAGACAACCACTATATACAAAGTACTATGTATAAGGGAGAGAACCACAATAAACAAAGTACTATGTATAAGGGAGACAACCACAATATACTTGGTACTATGTATAAGGGAGACAACCATTATATACAAAGTACTATGTATAAGGGAGACAACCACGATATACAAAGTACTATGTATAAGGGAGACAACCACTATATACAAAGTACTATGTATAAGGGAGACAACCACCATATACAAAGTACTATGTATAAGGGAGACAACCACCATATACAAAGTACTATGTATAAGGGAGACAACCACGATATACAAAGTACTATGTATAAGGGAGACAACCACTATATACAAAGTACTATGTATAAGGGAGACAACCACCATATACAAAGTACTATGTATAAGGGAGACAACCACCATATACAAAGTACTATGTATAAGGGAGACAACCACGATATACAAAGTACTATGTATAAGGGAGACAACCACTATATACAAAGTACTATGTATAAGGGAGACAACCACTATATACAAACTACTATGTATAAGGGAGACAACCACAATATACTTGGTACTATGTATAAGGGAGACAACCACTCTATACTAGGTACTATGTATAAGGGAGACAACCACGATATATAAAGTACTATGTATAAGGGAGACAACCACTATATACAAAGTACTATGTATAAGGGAGACAACCACCATATACAAAGTACTATGTATAAGGGAGACAACCACTATATACTAGGTACTATGTATAAGAGGCAATCTTAATTAACTCACCTGCTCCACAGATGAGTACCCTGCTCCCCAGAGTAACTCCGCCTCTGTTACAGGCATGAACCCCCACAGAAAGTGGCTCCAACAGGGCTCCCTCTTCAAAACTTACATTGTCTGGTAATCTGAAAACATATAGAATCATAATACTAATTTTCAAAAACATACCAATCCCACAGTTACAAGTGGTCAAAATAATTATACTTCTGATCAGACGTAATTGTTTTATCTCTCATATATATATATATTGGGTTTTTTTCAAATTTAACGCCTTTGAATTATTCAGTACATATATTTAACTCAAACCTTACATCTATGGTTTCTTGTATGTGATCAAGACAGAGGGGTATATTTTCTTGTTTGTTAAATACAGCCTCATCAACAGAATAAGGTCATGCAGGTACCACTGGTAGAAAAACAGTAGGTATGGGATTTGTTTCTTTTGCTTGTATTGTATGACCTATTCACAGCTATGGTCATTTAAAGGCATGTCAAGTTTTGGTGGTGGAGGAAAGACATAGACGACACAAATAAAATTGCTAGAAATACTTTCATTGTGCTTTTTATTCCCTGGAAATTGTAGCTTCTTCAATCTATTTTCAACAATGGAACATTTTGTTCTTACGGAGTTTGTAATTTGACATTTAGCCCTTTGTTTGACCTTGTTGTGACCTGATTTTGAACTACTTTAACCATGAGGTATGGAGTTAAAGGAGGTATCTCGTGGGTGATCACCTGGTCAAATTTCAGCAAATTCACCAGACTGAAGGCAGATTTAGCAGACAACGGCAGCATGACGAGACAAGATGAGCATTTGACCATTTTCATCATAATAAATGTTTTGATGATAGCAAATATATTATAAGATAACAAAAATGTTTTTAATTTCTTACTTGAAGCAAAAATCAGCTGCATGGACATAGAAACGGGACAGGTTACCATCGTAAGGTGGCGTGGCACAAAACTTCATGTCAGCACAAAGGTTATAGCGACCGGATTTACAGTAATGACATGTACGACATGGCACACCAGGTTCTATAGCAACCCTGTCACCTACAACATAGAAACAACAGGACATGTTATAACAGGTTCTATAGCAACCCTGTCACCTACCAAATAGAAATCACACATGTGTTTATTTTGATGCATAGTTAGTAATCATCCAAAAAATGTATCTCTCTTTCTGCAAATGTATTTTATTCTGATCTCTGGAATCATTTTGTGATGTCATAACCAATATGACATGACGTTTGTTACAATGAGGATAAAATGGCAATACTGTTACAGAGACACCTCTTTAACCTTACCAGGTGATATCACCAATCTCAAATAAACGTCAAAAAGAGTTGATTTTCAAACTAATCAACAAGAGATCCCAAAGGGATCTTGGAGCCCACCATTGTAAGATCTTCATTAGTTCTATGTAAGTTTGATCTTTTCGCTTCTTTTCTCTTACAAGTATCTTTTGGAATGATAGCCTTATCAGCAGTACTGTAGATGTATTCTGTGGTAACGTTTGATTTGAACTCTTAGAGTCCAAGATGCGTTTTATCAAAGATACTTATAACAGGCTAGAACTGTCAAAATCCAAAAAGGCTGTCTGACAACCATCTTGTTTTACCAATCAGTCTTAGAAAGATAATCTTTTGTATGAAACTTGAGAAAGATCCACTCATGATCAGTTCTTCTTGAGAAAATAATGATAACCATAATAACCACTGAAGACCATAATGGACTCATCCATAGCAATGCATGGTAATGTCTACTAAAGTCACATAGGGGTGAAAGGGTTAAGGACAGATGACAAGTGATTTGAATAGCACACCATCTGATAATGGTATGTTATTTTTTGTTTTCATTTCTAGGTAATTAATGCAATTGGCTCTTACTTTCCCGCAGATTGAAAAGAACAGAAAGTTATAAACAGATATACATTAATTAACACATAGATTTTTTACTAACCAACTTTTAGTGTTGTCACTCCCTCTCCAAGCTTGCTGACCAAAGCGCTGGCTTCGTGTCCGAGGATCATCGGTGCCTTGACCACAAAGTCACCAATCGAACCATGCTGCCAGTAGTGGACATCTGACCCACAGATTCCGACCTGCTGCATACATAACTGGACCTCTGTAGGGAAACAAGGTTTGACCTCTCTACATCTGTGTGAAAGGGAGTGGGAGAAAGAAGTGGGCATTCACAGTCTGAACTGTTAGTTTTGAGGGAGGGCACATCAAGTTTGATTTCTGTCTGGGGGAAGGGGGCATACAAAGACTGAACAGGTTTTTTTGTTTTTGTTTTTTATTTGTTTTTTGGGGGGCGGGACATAATATCTATCTCTGTCTAGGGGGGCATACATAGTTTGAAGTTTTTGAAGAAGGGAATATATACGTTTAAATCCTGTCTGTGCGTCGTGGGGCATACACTGTTTGACCTGTGTATGTATGTGCATGTTGCGGGCAGAGGGTGAACTCTTTGATGAGGTATACATATAGGTTGTCCTTTATGATTGTGAAGAGAAGCAGGTTATACATACATGTATAGACAACATCAAAATGTAGATTGATCTGAGCTGTATGTAGGGCAAGACAGTCAATTCTGACATGGGCAGCATATACATGTTGGCATGTATATGTGGGGTTCACACAAGATGGAAAACATTAAAACATTGAATCCCATTTTCTACAAGCATATTTATGACTGATTTTTTTCGTTTCCAAACGATGTGAATTTCAGTTTTGTATGTAGATCTGATGAAACAAAGTCGATATGAAATGACTCTGAAAATTGGCATTGTTTGATATGAAAATTGTGAAAAAATATCTCACCCCCTGGACCAGGTTCTGGGATTGGTTTGTCCTCCTGGAAATAAAAGTTAACATTATCATTGGTTACTACAGTTTTGAATGTTTTTGTTTTTGAAGCATTCCTCCTTTATTTTGATACAGTGCCAAGCGTAATTCATCAAAAAAATGATCTGACAATTGTTTTCAGTGCCGTAACTGTTATTTGAGTGTGATATATTGATATTGTGCTGGTTATTAGGAAATAGGTAGAGAGTCAGGACTTTGGTGGACCAAAAGTACAACTACACTATGGGCTTAGATAATCAAAATATTAAAAACATTTGTGTATATCTTCAGCAGGATGAAAGCTACATTTTTAATAAGTCTGAAATTAAATTTTTTAAATATTGAAATGAATTTTAACAACTCATCAAACTTTCGGCATGCCATTTTTGTCAATTTACCTAGTTCATTCGACAGTATAGTAGAAATACAATATCATAAAATGATGCTACTGAACATCGTTTTATATGTGTTCATTATAAGTTGTGTCATAGACTGCATTTTGTCAGTCGGTTTAATGTGGTAGTTTCTTATCAAGCACTCTTCATGTGGTATTAAGGTATTAAGTTTATCTAATAATAATATGTGGATCATTTAATTTTAAGTGATGTATATATATATGATACTACTGTATGTATTTAATTCAACTTAAACTTATTGAAATATAAAACCTTATATGGGCAGATGTATTTCTGATACACAATGTATCATATAATCATATATATCACATGAAACATGTATAATATATACTAACCTAGGATCCATTTTCATTTTTGGGGAATCTAGCAGTTTTAGTAATTCAGTGATTTTTTTTAGGATCATATCACTATATACTGTAGGTATATTACGGAATCCCTTGAAACTGTAAATGAACCCACTTTATCATTGTAACGACTTTTGTCTATCTATAACAAAGGTTTTTAACCATTAACCCCTGAAATTTCATAATGAACTATTCCAACCTATGAATAGGAAGAGTTCAATTGTGTCTTCAGGGGTGAATGAGTTAAATGCACATCATGCATGAACATTCTCAGACAGTCATACCTTTTCAAGATCAAGGACAGATTATAAGAGATAGGGGAATGTTTGTTCTCCCAGCTCTGAGCTGGAACATCAATCATAAACAGTAAATTAAAGCGTTTGGCCGACATACAGATTGGTCCCTTACTCTAGTACAACTATACTATCTTAACTTATAAGGCCAAGGTCAAACTTAAGATAACTTATCTGGCAAGGAGACACTATCAACAGAGATAATGCTTACTTTATCTCTGGGTCAATAAAGGTGACCAAGACATCCTCATACACAACATAATTATAAGCCTTCCTTAATACTCAAGGCAGGAAAAGTGTCTGCTTACAGCCAACAGCTGGCTTTCATAACAATGTTCAGTATAAATTACATAATTTCGGGAAGTAATTTCATCTGCCCTTAGAATTAACAATATTCAGGTCATATATTATGATCAACCAATTTTGTATTTCAAATATATATACAATAATATTTATGAACAAAAATTAATACTTCAATAAATATTATTTCTTACAAATGTAAGTAGTGAAAAACATTCCAATCACTTATCATGCTTGTGTGATTCTAGTCATAGTAATACTGTATACAGTGTAATTTGCATGAGTATCTATAATATTAACGCCCTGTCATACTTGACATACATGTTATTTTATTCCTTATAAACAACTACAAACATATAACCTTAGTATTCTGACAACCTGTATAATCTGATTGATTTGCTAGATCCCACAGGATGTTGGATTGAACAGATTTCACTGTGTAGCTTAAACTAGCCTTTAATTAATAATCAATAATTGGTTTCAAATTCTAAAGTTCAAACCTGTAAACTAATTAGAATCAGTATCATGTCTCAATTAGTTTATAGTATTGACCATGTTTTAATTTATCTCACAAAAAGATACATCTGTCGAGTGTCTATCTCTGCATATATATATTAATACCTGCACATCCTTGTCAATGCTTCAACATATGAAACTTTCTTGTTGGTGGTCCCTGGGATTGGCCGGCTGACCGGCTGACCGGCAGACGATTTAATATACAATGTAGTAGACCTAAAGTTAAAAGTAGGGCAACGTTTCGTGTGTCCCTCACACAATTGATTCTCGGTATTATTTACGTACTTACCAGTTTGATGTCACCTTTCTTGTAGAGGATTGCAGTTAAATTCGTGTCTGTCATGATTATTTCGTTAAATGTAATCTGCAAGAATACGAACACAACGCCAACTTGCTAGCACAATCACTACTCCGGATCCTGCTTCTGCAAATTGAGGTTAACAAATTACTCAGTGTCATTTTAAAGCTTGAAATCAAAGGACTAAACACGCGTTGAAATTAAACGTTTGGAGAATGCCTACATACAAACCACGTGCATTTGTTTACATCTGTCATACAAATACATTAGTCTACATCTGATATTACTTTTCGGAGAAAGTTTTAGTTATGTATATATATTGATACGCACAAATATCATGTTAGCAAAGTTATCCCAACATCTGTAGTAGGACGAGGAATAGTGATTAAGATACATCTTGTGCCTTCGCTGAGGCTCGAACCCGTAANTGGAGTTTGCTCCTATTCTGTTCAACATCTTTGCCAAATTCAGGTGAGGGTTTCCAAGAGAATGGAAGTCGGCAATTGTTATACCAGTCTAAGTTAAAAGGGGGGAGGGGGTGTGTCATTACACCTCTGGTAACTATAGGCATGTTTCGTTTCCCTAACTTGCAACTGAAAAGAACGAGAAAAATAGTTAAAAACTCTGAAGCCGTTACTTGCAATCGTTCAGATTTGGAGAAGAGACTATTATTTTTTTGTAATTTTCTTTTTATTCAAGATATGGTATAATTGCAATCAAACATTTCATATTATATACTCTAGCTTTCTTACATCAGTTGATATACGTGCCTTTATGAGAGAGAGAGAGAGATAGAGAGAGAGAGAGCAGCAGCAGGTGCAAGTTAGGGAAACGAAACATGCCTATAGTTACCAGAGGTGTAATGACACACCCCCTCCCCCCTTTTAACTTAGACTGGTATAACAATTGCCGACTTCCATTCTCTTGGAAACCTCACCTGAATTTGGCAAAGATGTTGAACAGAATAGGAGCAAACTCCACAGCATATATACGCCAAAAGTTTATAATATATATATTGTGTTTGTACATGTAAGGAGATAATAAAGTCACACGTACGTTTTTGCGATGGAAAATATATAATAAAACAACAAGTACTAAATTCCGTCTTTTCGTATTGCAGAGTTATCTGCTCTTGTGAGCAGGTATTGATTGTTACGTCATTTGTTCGTGTAAGAAAATTACGTCGTGTGTGTGAGAAAATTACGTCGTTTTCTCAAAAATTTAAGACGTTATTCTCACAAACAAACGACGTTACAATCAATACCTGCTTACAAGAGCAGAAAACTCTGCAATACGATCGAAAAGCTTCTTTAGGCGGACTCATGTCTACATAAGTCTCCGATTTTTTTTAATGATATTTTGATCCATATTTTTCCCCCAGTATCATATAACATTATGTTTTAAAGTTAAAATACCTTAAATTGTTTGACATAATATTGGATCATCCGTCCGTTTGTTACAGGTTGACTAATACTGCAAAAAAATATGTAACAATTTTGTCCCGAGACTTTGCCATTATGACGGCTGCCACATGTGACACAAGCAAGGCTTACCTTTTTGTAGCACCTGTTTTTTAGGGTTCACTGATGGCTTTCGTCTGTTCTTTGTTCATCTGATTCGTATGGTCTCTCCTTATTTGATGTTGTTGTCTTTTCGGATTGAATTTGGTCGTTGTGTATTGACATTTTGATTTTTTTTGTTGGCACCGTTTAGAAATCCTTGTCATATATATATGGCTCCAACGACGTCATTGGATATCATTAAAAACAAACACGTCACCAGGTCGTGTTGTCCAGGTTATGTTTGGAGTAATACACCAACTGATAGGTAATCATTGTGCAAGGGAAATCTGTTCATCATGACTGACCAGAATTTAACTGTCCTTCTCTACAAAAAAGGTGAAATACAGATGGTAAGTAATCCAATCAACAGATGTAGGATGTGTTAGTAAACAGAGGGTGAACAATAACATTGAGTGTGTCGAGTAGGACAAGTCTCATTTCATTACAGTCGTTCATACGTGTCATACTGAACGACATTCTCCTACGTCATTAAATGACCTTAGCTGTTAATAGGACGTTTAACAAAATAAAACCAAACATTCCACCTTTCTCACCAGCTAATATACCGGTGTTTATTTTGAAATAGCTAGGTTACAGGCATAAATAATCTTATCGTGAAAATTAGAATAAAATAATAAATCTGTTTGACTGTTTGTCAATAATCTTTTTTGATAAAATATATTTACATTTACTTAAAATGTAGGTGTTTAATATGGAAATATGAAATTTGGTAACCCGTATATTTATCGAATTAATTTCCCCCCCCCCCCAAAACTAATATTTCATTTATGAAATTAAAATAAAAAATATACGTTAATTAATTTGAGACAGTGACGAATGTATTCTCCAACTGCTTAATTCGACACATGTTCAACACATGTGGAATAACGAGGGTGCCACTTTCGAATCCTAAGGTCAGCACAAGACGCGCGTACGTTGCCCTCGTTTTCGGGAGTCGAAAACTCACCTGCCGTCTCACCTGTGTTCAGAGGCTATCAAAAATTCTAGTGACCGATATGTAGACTTAAGCGTCCGACTACGCTCGTTCTGGTGTACATGGTATTATATATATGCATATTATAGTCCTGCTACTAGTAAAAAAAAAGTTTATCAAGCACAATTGTTTTTACAAAGACTGGTTAATAACAGTACATGTCTGAAGATAGTAAATAGTGTTATTGTTCTAATAACGTGTCTAATAAGTCATTTTGGCTAGACATTTTATATTCAAGGGTATATGCATTGTGATTTTATGAATACTATGTTTTTGACACGAAAATAAAAATATTTGAACTTTGAACTTTTGAACTTTTATTTTTTTTCGAGCATGCAAGGGTGAAGTGATACGATTGTCTCAGGGTCGGTCATAATCTTACTATTCTAGCCATGTTGTAACCCCCACAAGTAAAACCTGTTGGACCCGAATATAATAAACGTAACAGTGATCTACTGTACAACTTCATTATCTGGTGGGGTTTTTCCAAATTTGGCGCAGATCGTTCCGACTTCAAGCCGATAGTGTGCGGATGTACGTACTTTCGTAATTGTTGATAGATACATGTAGAAAACACTATCAGAGATATGCGATAAATAGCAGCTGTAGATAGGTGGACTTTTAAACACAGGTTCTCCTTAAGACAGGTTTCACGATATATGCTGTATCACATATGATCAGAAATTAAGTAAACTAACTTAAAATTATTATATAAATTTGAGGCACGTTTAACGTGTGACAGGTATTTTAACAACACTTAGCCTTGGTACTTTATGATGTAAATAATCCAGTTTAATACAACCTAACGTAGCGGGTCATGTTTTACTTATGGAGCGCAAATAAATGTCTCCTTCAATATCCGGCTGTATACATGATGTACACATTGATACAGCGGAACAATACTTTTATAATGTCCTTGTTTGGCCCCATGTTTTACTATTAACGCAACTCTATATACGTTATGTGATGTAGGGTATTTGCTTAACTCCTAAAACTGTTTTGAACTCCAACTTGGCCTGCTGTATCCCGCTGCATGATCTATGCGGCAGCTCATATGGAAATCATTTTCCTTCTGTACCTCCATGTTCGAAATTCGACGCTTCTGCTCCCGTTTTACTCATCTTCTCTGCTCCCTCATATATTCTTATGCTCAATTCGAAGTCTTCGTACCTTGCGGGCGATACAAGTAGACTAGTATGGATTTGTTACGGAATTTTATATAAACATGATCTCAGGGGAAACCTACTCATACAGCGACGTCCTATTAACAGCTAGAGTCATTTAAGGACGTGCCTCCATGTGTGTAATGTATGGACAGGATTTGTTGGTGTGCTTGCCTCCTTGTGATAGCGCGGATCTGATGATAATATCACGCCTAAGGCAACAAGCATAGCATTCCGCCCGGTCACAATAAACCGACAACGGATGAACCAGTTGTTGCCAATACCCTAAATGCTGAACGCTAAACAGGGAACAACAACTACCATTTTTTAAGGACTTTGGTATGTCCCGGCCTGGGAACAGAACCCATTGCCTTCCTCACCTGGTCGAACGCTCAACATCAAAGCCAGAAGCGAGGTTTTGCCAAATGAGGCGCTAGGAAATAAAAGGTAGATAGAAATAGGAAGAAAGATAAAGATCCTAATTATTGCAATTGGTGCATCAGATTTATTTTGGTCGCTTTCGCGTCCCCAAATAGAGGGTACAAAAGCAAATCCACAATTATGTAGCGGGTTCCACATTAGTCGCCTTTTACGATACATGCAATGGGTAACAGCAGGTGTATACTTTTCTCAATCGCCGACCTGCAGGGGTGATCTTCAGAGGACAATGTCTATCAGCATTGCGATTGGTCTGTTGATAGTGTTTCGAACCTATGAGATGGCCAACCACGAGCGTTTGATACATGAGAAAACCAAAGAATACAACATGTACAAAAAACAAGGGGTCCGTTCACGAGATACATATGTTTCGACACCCTGGAATATGTCGTAATGCAAACATGAGCTCTCTAAAGGAGAACTTGACCAACGGGGATGAATTAAGAGTTAGTTAATGTGGACAATGAACATTGTACGGTAATTAATTCTATTTTGTTTTGTTTTCAGGTAGATAAACCTATCCCAGAACCAGGTCCCGGGGGTGAGAGATTTCATCTTTTTACTCGCAATAAAGGAAGTAAAATGGCGAATTGTAATAAATGCCGAATTACTAGTCATTTCAATTAATCATTGGTTATATTCGATTAAAGGAAGAATTTTTACTACACGAAACATTAAGTTTATCTACTCGGCGGGATACATGCTAGAATAGTCGGGAAGTGTTCCAAATATTACTCTCGTTGCGTATGTTCGGTGACAAACGGTCCAAACGAACTAAAAGAATCTTTGTTCGTTCTTTTTTTTAGATAATAATTAGTTCCATCACATTTTTATTGGTGAAATATAAGTGTTAATCCCCCTTTTACGGTAAACTTACCAATCAAAGAACCATATCAAAAATACATGTTTTTATGAATACCAGTTATATTTCAACTCGTCGACTGACTATTTTCATATGTTCAAATTATCAATGTATTCACAACATCCCTTGAAATTAAAATGGTATCCGTCAGTAAATCTATATGGTGTTGAATATTAATGGTCGGTTTATGAGGTCAAACGTTGTTTCCCTACAGAGGTCCAGTTATGTATGCAGCAGGTCGGAATCTGTGGGTCAGATGTCCACTTCTGGCAAGACGGCTTTATCGGTGACTTTGTGGTGAAGAAACCTATGATACTTGGACACGAAGGAAGTGGAATGGTCAGCAAGCTCGGAGATGGAGTCACAACACTGAAAGTCGGTTAGTAAAATAAATATAGAATAAACACTCATTCTTGTGATAACCTCTATTGACATCGCGGAAATGATTTTTGTTTTTGTTTTGTTTTTGTTTGTCGTTGTTTTTATCCCTTCACCCCATTTTATTTCTGAACATCTTTTCAGTTGTTATACTTGATTTTGTCTGAATGCCTCTCCTCTAGAAACAGTTGTTGTCTTTCCCATCGTTCTGTTATCTCTTCATTTCCTGTTGTTGTCTTTCCCATCGTTCTGACGTTTCCACAGTTCCTGTTGTTGTCTTTCCCATCGTTCTGACGTCTCCTCAGTTCCTGTTGTTTTCTTTCCCATGGTTCTTTCGTCTCTTCAGTTCCTCTTGGTGTCTTTCCCATCGTTCTTTCGTCTCCTCAGTTCCTGTTGTTTTCTTTCCCATCGTTCTGTCGTCTCTTTAGTTCCTGTTGTTGTCTTTGCCATCGTTATGTCGTCTCCTCAGTTCCGTTTGTTGTCTTTCCCATCGTTCTGACGTCTCCTCAGTTCTTGTTGTTGTCTTTCCCATCGTTATGTCGTCTC